GGCCAGCGTCAGGGAAAAGCGGCCACAGGAAATCTGACTGCCTCGGTACTTTGAGTTACCTGAGACCACAGACCTCCCCCAGCACCACAAAGCCCTGGGCAGCTGGCAGAGGCAGGGGCCACCTGTGTAGCAGCAGGCCCAGCTCCTCCCCGGACAGAGGGCTCCACATGCACTCAAGAGGCTGTCGTGGAACGCCCACACTCTGATGGGTGAACGAGATGAATGTGTCCCACTCCTTCAGCAGAGGTGAAGACGAATCAAAAATAAGTGAGGCCAGGACTGGGGGCGCAGCTCAGTGGTCGAGCATGGTCTTCACGTGTGCAAGGCCCTGCGTTCAAACCACAGCACCAAATACATACAGGAAATAAATGAAGCCAGCCAATGCAGCCCGCACCTGCAGTCCCAGCTACTGGGAAGGCTGACCCAGGGACATCACTCAAGGCCATCTGGGCCACAGAGTAGGACTCCCATCTCTAAGTAAATTAACAAGGAAGCTGGTCATAAGTTGTGATAAAGAGGTGAGGGGGCATGAGATAGGGATCATGTCCAGACTTTGTTCCCACATGAGGGGTCGGGGTTGAGGGGCTGAAGGATGGGGAGCTATGCCACACAGGGGGTCAGGAAGGGATGTCCCTGGGGTCTAGGCAGGATGTGATCACAGACCTGAAGGATGGGGAGGCGTCAGGGAAAGGAGATGTCCAAGGCCGGGGGTGGCTGGGCAGAAGTGAGGAGGGAACTTACAGAGGGCTCCAGATCAGTAGGAACAGCCCAGGTAAGACATTGTGACCTCTTTGCAGCAACAGTGGGAGTCCATAAAGCTTTTACACAGGACAGGCAGAGCACCCTCTGAGAGAACCAGCACAGCTGGAAAAACAGCTGTAACAAAGTAATGTCCCCCCCTGCCTCCCTCCATACCTCCCGGGTATTTCTGCCCTGTGCTCCTGGCCTAAAGAAACCCAATAGCCCCCTTTCCCCCTTCTCTCCACCCACCCCCACATCTGTCTCTCTCTCTAAACTGCTCAGGAAAAAAGGAACCCTGCAGACAAAAAGCTGCCGCTGGATGAGGTTAAAAATACTCTGCGCACACGCCAGTGGCTCATGTCAAGCACATTTGGAAACAGTTTGTATCCCAAGCTGAACTGGTTTGCCCTGGAAGCTGCTTTCCATTAAAGTGTTTACAGACACACTGTCCCTACATCCTGGGACTGTCCTCCTCCAGGCTCCCGCTGGCCCGTGGAGGGTCCTAAGGAAAGGGGACTTTCCACCCTCGGACAGCACTGTAGAAAGGGCGGTCTGGTCAAGTTGGAGGGCTGGGCCTCCAGGGGACACCCGCCTCCTCCAGCATGTCGGGTGAGAGGGCTGCTCGGTGGGCTGTTCCCCAAAGTTCTGCAGGGTCTCAACACGCCCGGCATGGTGGGTGCACAATGTCTTCTCAGCAGAGAGGCAACAAAGAATTCTTTGGTCACGATCCCAGAAACAGCTCTGGCAACTGCAAGCCCCTGGAGATGGGAGGGGCGGCCAAGGGCAGGAGGAGGTGCAGAAGCCCAGAGCTGGGCTCCCCGTGGGGCGGGGCCACAGTGGCTCCTCCACCCTCCTTCTGTGGGCAGCACCCCATGTGGTCGGCAACTCCAAGGGAACGTCAGCTGGCCTAACTGGGTCACATGTCCATCCCTGGGCTGTGGGGGTTGGGGCACAGGATAGATGTCCGTGGCCCCTTCCATTTCCTTAAAAGTGTCAGGAATGCCACCTTCCAAGGGCAGCAGCAGTGTGAGTGGTCAAGAACCCTCTGAGTAACTCATGACGCTGCAGAGGAACCCCAACCGTGAGCCACCAAGTCACTGGGCCCATGGATGTGGCAGGTGGCCACACTCTCTTCACAGGGCTCTTCATAGATGGCCCTGGGGAGACTGGGCCATAGTCTTTCACGACCAGGTGCCACCGTAACCAAGTTCCTTCCTAGGGCCCGATTCTGCGGCTCTGCCTGCCTGTGGCTCTGCCTGCCTTCTGCTCTGCCTGCCTTCCCAGAGTTCCCCTGGTCTGTTACTGTGTTGTCACTGTCCCTGAGATGGCACAATACCAGGCAAGCTCATGCCCCATCTGCTGCCCACCTCCCACCTAAGACATCTCGTGCAAATGGGTGAATCTGGGCAGGGATTCACTCACCCAGTGGGGGGCTCCTTCCAAACCGAGCCTCATGACCAGCCAGACTGCTGCCCCACCCCCACCTGGCTCTCATCAAAACAAGGGGACAAAAGGGAAAAGCCTGGAAGAGGTGTCTTTTCTCCCCCTACTTCCAGCTAATCAGCAAAAAAGAAAAAAGGGAAAAAAAGCAGTTAGTCAGTGGAAAGCGGCTTTTGTGTGAGTGTCTGCAATTTAATATCCTTTCATTTCCGATTCCATTCTGAAAAGCCACATCAGTTCAATTTTAAATTTTCCAACACCCTTTTTTGGGGGCTGGCAACACATGTCACGCAGCAGGCTGCTGGCTACACAGCTGGACTCCCAGGGACAGCACAGCTGCATCCGAAGCCCTCTGCAGGCCTCGTCTGCTGGAGCACCCACGTCTTGCCTGGAGAGCCAGCGATGACACGAGGCTCCAGGCTCCACTTTGGCTTAAAATCTGAGAAGATCCCTGGGCCAGGAGCAATCGCACGGAATGCACCACACATTCCAAACACAGAATTACTCTGCGGGGACAGTGCAGGCATGGTGCAGGCCAGCACCCGCCTGTAGACAGCACGGCCCCACGCTGGCCACCCTCCAAGGGCTCGGAGGAGCTGAAAGTCACAGATGTGGCCACAGCCCGTGCTATTCTGGCTGCCCTCCTTCCGGTGAGACAACCACGTCCTGCACACCTTTCTAGCAGAGTTCTAAATGGGGATGTGCCAGCCTTCCTACAGGCTATTTAGAGTGAGCTGTCCCATCACAAAGAGGACAGGCTCCATCCCTGAGCTCGTGGCCATGGGCTTGGGCACTTGGGGAGCAGCAGCCTGACTGACCAGGAGGCTGGGGTAACTAGGTGCAGCTGTGTGGCTTCAGATCCATCATTTATACTCTCTGAGCCCTGTTTCTCCCTCTATAAAATAGGGATGATACAGTTATCTTGCATGCAAGTAAATGAAGGTGGGGCCTGGCCCAATTATCTTGTGACCAAGAAACAATTTTCAAAGATGAGCTGTTGCTAGAAATTCCACGGTGACCTACCAGAATAACACACAGTTGTGGTCTCATGGAAGGCCACTTGCTCTGTGCATGAGCACAGAGCCTGGATCTACCCTGAGCTTCTCTGGCCTAGGCCGGGGTGCACAGCCTGAGCAGGTGAGGGAACATGCATAGATGTCTCAAAGCTTGTGTTTTCTGAAAAGCTGTCTGGGAAGGAGCCTGGAAAGGAACAGCAGCCTGGTGCTGTTAAAAAATAAATTAATAAAATGAAAGATCCAGAATCCAGAATCCTGTGCCCAAACTGAACACAGAACTAGCTCCACCAAGCAGGCCACACCTGTCTGACCTCACAGGCAACACCCAGGGGAAGTTACCCGCCCGCCCCCACCCCAGTCTAGGGTCTCTTCCTAGACCAGCCACAGGAGTCCAGCTGACCCCTCTTCCTCCTTCTATCTGAAGTCTAGAAAACTGTAAGGATGTGAAAAACCAGAAAAAGCAATTTCATTGCACTTGGCACCTGGCAAACTAATGCTCTGTAATCAACATGACGATGAGTGGGAATTTTTGATGATCCAACAAGAACTGGATTTCGTTCCAGGCATGAACACTTTGCTAAGAAATCTGCAAAGCAAAAATGACTGCAAGGAGACTAGCCAAACAGAAAACATCTTCTTTTTTGTTTTTGTTTTGTTTGTGGTGCTGGGGACCAAACCCAGGGCTGCATGCATGCCAGGGAAACCCTACCACTAAGCCGTGTTCCCAACACCAAAAACACATTTTCAAATATAACATTCCCCAACTTGAGCTCACTCTGTCTCAGCTTTGAATCCCACTTCCCATCCCTGCCAAAAAAAAAAAAAAAAAAAAACCTGAACACTCAGAGAATTCTAATTTGAGCAAACATTGCAGTCCCTGCCCCCCCCCCACCCCGGGTTGGCAGGTGTACATTAGCATATTAAAGGCTCTGAGAAGTTCTGTAAAGAGGAAATCCATTGGCTTTGTTCTAATTCTAATTGGTTTCCAAGGCCCCTTGGCCCTTTTCCTTTTGAGGTACTGAGAGTGAAGCCCAGGGCCTAGCACAAGCCTGGCAAGTGCTTTATCCCGGAGCTGTATACCATCCCCCTAAACTGTTTGAGTTTGGAAGATGGATTGAAGCCTATCTAGTTACCCTGCAAAGTCCCCAACTGGGGAGACCTGTTTTGTTCTCAAAGTAGTTGTTTGGTGTCAAAGATGGCTCATCCTAAAACCGGGTACATTCCGTGCTACATGGTGAACATATAAGATACCCGTGGAGACAGACAAAAAACTTGTAACAGATGCCTCAGGATCAGAAATAAGAAGGAGACTCAATTACCACTGTTTACCTACTAATTTCTTTCTTTTTTTTTTCCCCTTGGTACTCTGGGTAGAACTCAGGGGTGTTCTACCACTGAGTTATATCTCTCTCCAGGCTCTGAAGACAGGGTCTGGCTAAGTTGCTTTGGCTGGCCTCGAACTTGTGATCTTCCTGCCTCGGCCTCCCAAGCAGCTGGGATTACAGGCATGTGCCACCATACCCAGCTCCACCTACTTATTTCTTTACCAACCTATTGCTTTACTTTATAAACAGTTTAAATATCTGTTGTGAAACTCTCTGATCTGGAAGGAGACTGCTTTTCCCCACAGCTTTTCTGACCGCCTTCCCCTGGGCTATACTCCCCAAGGGCTCTCCCTGGGATCCCAGGAAGTCAGATCCCAGGTGCCTTTACCAGGTCTGGGTTTGGCCACGATCTTGATTGGGACATCTGAGATCTGGGCTCCGCAGGTGGAGCACTGTCAGGGACACAGAAGCCGCTCACCTGGTGGTCAATCTTGATAAGAGCAATGTCCGCCTTTTCGTCTACGTCCTTGATTTTGGCTTCATAGGTGGCTCCACTTTTCAGCTCGACTTTGACACGGTGCTTGTTGGTCACCACGTGGGCATTGGTCACGATCAGTCCGTCTTCTGACACAATGAACCCAGACCCGCTGGCCACTGGCACCTCCCTCTTGGAGAAAGGGAGCCTGGAACCAAAGGACAGAAGGTAAGCCCCCCATCCCAGATCTGTGTACCGCGCCCACCGAGGCCCCGGGGATTGGCTCTGTGTGACTCGCAGGAGGGGATCGCTGCTTCACACACCAGGTTTAACAGCCCAAGACGAAACGTCGTGCCAGTTTTTGCAACACATCGAAAAATTCCACTTAGAAAATATTCTTGGGGAATCTCTGCAGAGCCAGACGTTCTTAAAGCATCTGAAGGGTCAAGAATGTAGATTTGAATAGTCAAATGGAAAAACGTCCTAAGGGAGAAGCATTTATCATAAGGCAAGAATCTACTCAGTGACACTCTGACACTTGAATGCGTCTCAGAAATAGCACTGGTGTTTTGCTAAAGGCAGCATTTGTCATCGAAAGCTTCAGAGGTTAGAGCAAACAAGGAGGCCTCTTTACTTGCGAAATAACTCGATGTGAACCACCGCAGGAGCGATCTTCTCCACCACGTCAGCGATGAAGTTATATTTGTGGCGCAAACTGTTGGGATCTTCCTGCCCTGAGAACAAAGAAAAGACCAGGCACTTAACCGTACTGTGCTTTGTGCTGTGGGGCCTGGAGGGAGACGGGTTAGAGGGAGCCCAAGTGCATCACAGCACCACCATGCACACTCACAAGTACACACACACACAAGCCTGCACACTCACAGTCACGCACATACACACTCAAACGCATACACACTCACACATGCACGTGCACACACACATATATTCGTACACATGCATGCATATATATGCAGACGCGCACATGCTCACATGCATGCACACTCAGGTGCTTACATACATGCACACCTAGTCTCACATGAATGCTTGCACACACATACACATGTCTCCCTTGACTCGAGGAAAGCAGCCATTCCCCAGGCTCTAGATTGAGTGAAAACTGGGACACTTCCAGCCCCTCTTGTGACTGGTCACAGCTCCCCCTGCAGCACCTGAGCATCTGAAGATGGTGTCTCAGTTCCTCCCCAGCTGTGCCACCAGGGACCACAGCAACCCAACTCCTTACCACTGCACAGAGGGACACTCCAGGGCTAGCCTGCCTCTCTGGAGCGTCTCCTATTGGAAGTGAGGGAGCATCTATAGACAAAGGCCCTCTCTGCCTGGCTCCCTGGTTCTAACAAGCTTTTCAGGGTTGAAATCTGATCCTTTTACATAGAAGGATCAGAAAAGGCCCTGCTACTACTGGGGGAAATCAACTAGTCTGACAAATTCACGATAGCATCATTTTATTATTGCTGCTTTTACCATTATTTGCTATATCATGAGCTACCTCATTTTAGTTTTTTCTACCTTCTTCTGGAAGAAAAAATCAGATACTGCTCCCATAGTATATTTGGAGAAACTGAGGCTCACAGGTTTTTGAGGGATTTCTCCATAGATCAATAGCATGCATATATGACAGGAAAATCGGAGCAAGGCCCCTTGACTTCACGGTTTCTCCAAATCCACAACTTCCCCACTTCGGAACTCTCCCCAGACATATCTGCTGCCCTCCTAGGTGTGCAAGATAGAAATGAGGGGATGGAAATGTTCCTTTCAAACACGAAGCCTGGTGAACATCACCCAGAGGTGGCTGTAAACAAAGCATCTGGGCTTCCTGGGACAGGCTTCCAGAGCAAAGACTGGGCAGAGGGCAGAGTGTGACTCAGGCAAAGCCGGCAACTCCAAAGAGCTAACGCATTCCTGAGGATCTCTCCAGAAGCACAACTACTAGACCTGCCCACTGTGGATCCTTAACTCATTTCCTCTTTCTGAGGTCCCACATTGGGCAGGCCTGGGAGAACCTGCCTGCAGCAGGGCAAGATGAACCCAGGGGTTCCCAATCAGAGGAGAAGGCCGTGTTTTCTCACTAGTCTAGAAAAAGTGATCAGGAATCTGACCTGGACACTAGAAGGCCTGAGGTCCATCTTCATTCCACAGAATGACCTCTGCCTCCATGTCCCCACCTGCAAAACGGGACCACTGTCTCTAGAATGAGCTGCCCTAGACTCAGAGTGAGTGCAGGGCTCTTCAACTTGGCAGATGAATAAATGGAGGGAGGGGCAGCAGAGGGAGGGGCAATGGGAGGACAGATGGTGACAAAAAGCCCTTGAGAGGTCTGAATTGTGTGGGTCAGATGACCTCTGACCTTTCGAGATCATCTTTTGGTGAACCAGCATCCACAGGAAACTAAACAGAAACAACTGAACCCAAGGAACATCAATGAATTGTTCAAAGATGGCCAAAAAGCCAACCCGAGAAGAAATGTTTGGCTTCTCCAACCAGAACGAGGACGGAAGGATTAAAGGAGCACCTGGCTGGGTGTTAATTCCTGATCCACTTGGAACCGGAGCCGCTGCTGCCTCACCACACCCTGGCTGGCTCTGCCCTCAGCAGCCAGTCAACTGTCCTCCTTGCAGCAGGGTCAGTCCAGGTGGGGACGGCTCATGGGTGAGGCCAGGCCAGGCAGCTCTGCCATGAGCTGCGGTGCAAGGGATGATGAGAGTCGGAGGCTGGGGAGGCTGGGGAGGCTGGGGCATCCCAGCCACTTGGTAAGGGGGGCATGCTGGGCCTGGCTCTGGCCTTAAGAGGAGCAGAATATGGCCCTGGGCATGGTGCCCACTAGCTGTGTGGTCCCGCTGTATCACAAACTCTCAAACCCACCCCTTGCCCTGCAGGCCACCAGAGCAGCACCCACCTCAGTGCCTGCGGTGCTCCTTCCTGAGCAATGCACAGGAAGCCCTTGACCAAGCCATGTATGCAGTTCAAGAAAGGAAGAAAGGAACTGGCACAGGGTGGTCAGCAGGACAGCCGAGAAGGAGAGGGAGAGGCGTAGGTGCCACCCTGGCAATGCACGTGGGTCCCCAGGCTCCTCCCAGCAGTGTCCTCATGGCCACCCACCCCTGTGGAGGACTGATCCAGGGGAGGCTGTAACTCACCCCACAGCCACTGTGGGAGGGGCAGGGGCTGAGTCAGCAGGAAATCCAGGCACCCAGATGGGCACAACCCAGAGGAAGGCAACTCTGGCCCCTGGGAAGCCAGACCCTGCTCCCCCTGCTTCATCCCCTTAGGCTAGAACTAAGGCCACAGCCAGTCGCCAGGACAGGAGACCCTGCAAAGTCAAGGCCTGGCCCTTCTAACTGCTGGGTCACCGTCCTGAAGGGAACCTGGCTCTGGCTGCCATACAGTGATTGGTGTGTAACAGGCAAGGAAGGGGAAAGGCACGGAGATTGGAAAGGAGAGAGGAAACTGCCAGTGAGAGCCTTTCTGGAAAAGGCTTCAGCTCTACAGCCTGAGTCAGTGTGCTGACCAATGTCCCAGAAGTACGGCTGTAATCAGTTGCACTTCTAGGTATTTGTCTATAAAAAGTTGGTATCAAAATTTTTAAGAACATCAATGATGAGCATCAAAAACATTACATACTCAGGGAAATGTTTCATGAAATACTTGAGAAACTGTGCACCGAAAGTTCCCAAACATGGGCTGGGGATGTGGCTCAAGCGGTGGCGCGCTCGCCTGGCATGCGTGCGGCCCGGGTTCGATCCTCAGCACCACGTATGAACAAAGATGTTGTGTCTGCCAAAAACTAAAAAAAAATAAATATTAAAAAAAATTCTCAAAAAAAAAAAAAAAAAGAAAGTTCCCAAACACTGTCAAAATAAATCAGATACCATACTTGTGGCTTGAAGGTTCATTATCTTTAAGCTATCAGTTCTCCCTAAAGAGATCTGCAGATTAAACACACTCCCCATGAATAATCTCAGCGGATATTTTTTTTTTGAAATTTGAAACCAATTTCTCAAATTTATGTGGAAAGCAAAGAATCTCAAGTATGCAAAACATTCTCAAAAACAAAAACTGAATGATTTATACTATAGGACTTCATTTTTAAACAGAAAAAGAAGTGGTAAATAACTAGGATTAGCAGAAGGATGAGTCACAGTACTTTACAGAGACAGATCTTTCCACTTACCTAATACGTGTTCATCACTACGGATACTTCTTTTCTTTTTGTTCTTTTTTGGGGGTACTATGGGGCACTTAACCACTGAGCCACATCCCCACCTCTTTTTATTTTTTGTGTTGAGACAGAGTCTCACTATGTCGCTCGGGGCCTCACTAAGTTGCTGAGGCTGGCTTTGAATTTGCAATCCTCCTACCTCAGCTTCCCAAGTGCTGGGATTAGAAGCGCCAGCCACCACCGAGGCTCACTACGCTGGATATTTAACACAGTGAAGGACCCATTCAGAGTGGCTGGCATTTCCTCTAACTTTATGAGTTTCACGTTGCCAGGATTTTATCCCAAGATAATAACAGATTCCTCTCTGCTGCTTAAAAACTACTAGTCAAGAACACAACTTCATAAACGCGGCTTCCTTGGGGCCCACCCTCCTCGGTGGTTTACAAATACAAACACATATTAACGACCATCAACAGCTGCTAGGAAGAGACTGCTCAGTGTGGAGGAGTTTCAAAAATCACATTCCCTTGAAAAGTGTTTCCTGGAGAGTGCCAGGGGGTAAGTGCAGCGACCCGCAGTGTCCACGGGAATTAGATCCAGGACCCTCCTCAGACACCCAAATCCCTGCGTGTTATTCCTGAAGAGTGCCAGGGGTAAGTGCAGCGACCCTCAGTGTCCACGGGAATTAGATCCAGGACCCTCCTCAGACACCCAAATCCCTGCGTGTTATAGAAAAATGGGGCAGAGTACTTGACACGAGCTATTCACAGCCTCCCAGGTACACTAAGTCGCTTCTAGATGACTTGCTGTACCTAATACAATGTAAATGCTGTCTAAATAGTTGTACTGAATCGTTTAGGGAAGAGTGGAAGGAGAACATCTGTACGTGTGCAGCCAGATGCAGTTTGCTTTTGTTGATGTATATTTCATTTTTTTTTTTACCTACAGTTGGTTGAATCCATGCAAGAGGACCCTGCAGATACAGAAGGCTGACTGTATTTGACATCCATTATCACATTTAAGAAAAATTTGTTGCAGTGAAAATGGAAGTCACACGCAGGAAGTGTGAACCCGAGAACAGACCTTTTTTGTGTATGGTGCAGGAGATGAACCCAGGGCCTTGTGCATGCGAGGTAAGCACTCTACCAACTGTTCCCTAGCCCAAGAACAGACTTTTTCCTCTTTGCTTCTCTCAGGAGAATGAGCATGCATTGGATGTGTTTTAAATACATCAATATGTGTTTCATCTTTAAAGCAAACACATCAGATAAAGATTAGAACTGAGGCAGGAGGAAAAGAAGTACATGCTTATGGTCCTAATGCCACGTTCCTCAATGTCTGCCCCAAGGTTCCCAGAACATCACAACAAGCTCAAAAGATATTGCACGTTCTCCGGGGAAACACGAGGCTGGATATACCCTGGACACCTTGGGAACTAGCTCCAGCAGTTCAGTTTCAAATCAGATGGCATTACCTTCCTCTTTGCGATTCACACCTTTGCAAAGTTGAGTTTCTGGTAGTTGCTGTGATAAAAGGAACAAAGCGCATGAAACTCAA